TTTCGACCATTTTTGAGCTCTTGCGCATAAACAAATTATCGGAATTTAATCGGACTTGTCTTATTTTACAGATTTATTTAATACCTACCTTTTTTGTATAAACCCTTTTTCTCTATGAATAACAGTTTTTTTATGCGAGTCAAAAAACCACTTTTCCATAATTTTGACCATTGTTTAACAAAGTTTCCCAACTAGTCTCGAGTTGATTTTTTGATATTTTGTTTATAACACGTTTCTGAACAATATCCCGCAGAGAAACTTCTAATAGTATTTTTTCCCGAAAAAAATCTATAATGACTGGCCTATAAGGGTTGAAGTGTTATGAGATACAAATTCTTTCATAAGCAATGAGGGAATTTTTATTTTAAATAATTGCACCGTTAAAGCATTCCAAGCGTTTAAAAAGTAATTTTTTTATAATTTTTGTCAATACAGGGGTGGTTTTTAGGGGTTGAAAGGGAAAAATTATTTTATTGGTTATAAAGTAACTTTTATTTTAAATAATTGCACGATTTAATCATTCCAAATCTTTAAAAAGGAATTTTTTATCATTATTTATGCATAGGGGTAGTTTTTAATGGTTAAATAAAAGGTTGAAAATATCAAATATATCATAAACATGTTCGAGAACATGGAACATTATTTAATCTTTGTGCTTGAACAAGATTTTTATCAATAAAATGCTTAAAATTTAATTTTTTCAATTTTTTTCACTTAGGGGTAGTTTTTACCCCTAAAAAACAAAAAGCGTCAATCGGGCTTATGTCACTTTTGAACTCGAGTCTAAGATGAGCCTTATTCTAAATTTTCATGCAAATCCATGCAGTTTCAAAGAATTCGGAGGTTACAGCTGATTTTCAGCTTCAATGACTGTACTAATTATAAAACACAGGAAGATAGTCGCTATTTCTTAAGAGAGGCGTTATTATGTGTAATTTTCAGTGGATTTATAGCAGCCGTTTTTATTTTTAGTTAAAGGGAACCACAAACTTTCTATATTTTCATTGTTTACTTACGAAAAATTGAGATCTTTCTTTTTATTGAATTACTTAAATAAAATATTATTTTGCCTTTTGTTAATTTGTGCTAGTAATTTGAAATTTAATGGCATTTGTTAAAAAATGTTATTTTTAAACTCAGAGTATTGTTTATTTTGGAAAAAACAAAAATAAAACTGTTAAATCCCTAATTCTGACAAATTACAACGCACCCTAATATTACCACATAAATTATGAAAGTATTTAATTACAAACAAATAAAAAGTAAATCACCTGGAAAGCGGTCATAATTTCAGGATCTTGCAACAACTTATAGAAGTCCCCCATGCCAGGCATACCGGCCCCTCCCTCTCCAGGAGCGGTTGGTATGTCTTCGTCAGCTTTATCGTGAGTCGCGGCTTTTGAGTGAGCCTCCCTAGCTATACGAATCCTCTCCATTCTGTCCCTTTCTTCTCTTTCTTTTTTCTTGCGTTCTTTCTTCAGCAAATGTTCCTCGATTTTCTTTGCATTAGGCGTAACTTCTTTTAGCCACTCATCGATTTGCTCGTCCAAATCAATGTTGCAGGCTTGACGTAAGTCCTTAGCGGCTAGCTCCCATTCACCCAGCAGTCTGTAAGCTCTACCGCGAAATTTATAAGCCGCTGCTGAATCACAATTTATTTCTAAGGCTCTAGTGCAATCTCTGATACAAGCGTTTGGCTTGGTTAGTTTTAAATATGCTTGACCTCGTTTAGAAAACAGGAGTGCACTGTTGGGGTTAAGCTCAATGGCTTCTGTAAATAATTCAATAGCTTTTTCGATATTTCCTTCGGATAATTGGGACATTGCTTCCATTCGTTTCTCATCGGCTTTGTCAGTATCCTCTTCCGACAATTCTTTAGAAGGATCACCCATTTTTTGATTATCATCAAGTTTATCTGGCTCTACGCAACCCGTCATGTCAAATTCTAGTTCAGACTCTGGGTCTGATTCGGTAGGTGCATCCGGAATTTCCTCAGGCTCTTCTTTTGGTTCGACTTTGGGGCCTTCCGACATTTTAGGCGCTTCTGGCAACTTACCACCGAGCGATTCAACAAATTCTTTAAAAAATGATAAATCAGGCAAATGTAGTATGGCAGGATTTGACTTGCAAATTGTAATAAACTGTTTTAATTTATCAAGGGCTTCTTTGTTTATTGGGCAACTCATTTTTGTTATTTTTCTTGCCTCTTCACAACAGTAATGGATACAGAGAAAACTCTAGAAACTAGCACAACTTGTAAACAAAAAATATTTCACTTTTGTAGTGTCACTCAACGCATTAGTTAAGCAGTTAGATGGTTGTGGTACTACTGAATAACCACAGCACTGGTTTTAGCCAGGATACACATGTATGCGTTGCACGGATCCGTTGTTTTAACCACGTGACCATCAACATCCAATCCGTTTTGACCTTGACGGACTGTCAAGTCGCTTTACTGATACACAATTGGATATTGATGGTCACGTGATTACAATGGATCCGTGATCAGCATGCATGTGGATCCAGGCTTATATGGGGGTCTTTCGTTTTGGTAAAAGTAGTAGCTCTTCGCAGCTAATATCAGTTCAGAGTAACTCAGTTATTTTTGCCCAATAGAATGATATTTTTTTTGCTTTGATTGGTAACTGCAGCGGCAAAATTCGAAATATACAGTAGCAGTATGTAGAATAGTTTTATTGATAGTTGGAATAATTTATTTCTTTCATAAAAAATACATTTATTATGTTTACAAGTTTAATATTTTGTGAAACCGTAACATCAAGGACTGAATACCAAGATAAAAGTACAGTTTTACTGTTTAAATGAGTGAATTCCAGAAAACATTAATATGTTTACTGCAGCTGATTTTTCATTTAAATTGGGGATAAATAAAATTACAAGTAAAAATATTTAATTACAACACCTAATGCATCTCTGCTTTAAGATTTAAACAACTCTTCACATCATCATGTACTTTTCTATGCTTCTTCATGCTACTAGAATCATAAAAACCCTTTGAACACACATCGCACACAAAAGGTTTTTCACCCGTATGTATCCTAATATGAACCTTTAAGGAACCAGTATGATTAAAAGTTTTTTCACAAAACGTACAGGTGTAAGGCCGTTCACCACTATGTCTCCTCATATGGTAGGTAAGATGGCCTTTTTGAGAGAACCGCTTCCCGCAAATAATACACAACACGGGCTTTTCCCCCGTGTGTGTTAAGTTATGTTTTTGCAAACTGTTTTTCTGAGAGAAGGCTTTATTGCACACTTCGCAAATATACGGCTTAATTCCGGAATGTACCTTTACATGACAGTCTAACAAAGCTTTCGTAGAAAACTTCTTACCGCACTCGCTACACAAGAATTTTTTATCACTGTGTATGAACATATGATTTTTTAGGACACTTTTGGAACTAAACATTTTTTTGCAAATCTGGCAAGTGAAATCCGTTCCTGCCTCTGCATTTCCATCACGTATTTTGTGCATATTAATGTGATTTCCTAGAGCGTGTTTCGTAACGAAAGACTTCCCGCAGATGTTACACATAAAAGATTTTTCACCAGTATGAGTTCGAATGTGATCTGTTAACGTTGGTGCTTGGATAAAGCCTTTTCCACAAATGTGACATTCGTGTGGCTTTTTATCGTTGTGCCTAAAATTGTGTCTTGTTAGACTCGATCTAAAACGGAATTTTTCTCCGCAGATGTCACACTGATACGGTCGTTCTTTCGTATGAGAGTTAATATGATCTTTTAATTTGTATGTGCTAATAAGCTTTTTACAGACGGAACATGGATATTTTTTTCTTCTATGATCGGCTTCTTTTTTTCTATGAGTTTTATAATCCATATAAGTACCAAACGTACTATTACAAAAGGAGCAAGTAAATTCAGATCTTTCCGTTTTCGATAGCCTACTTAAGCTATTCATTTTCTTTGAACGACAATCATTTTCGGCTTTAGGCACCTCATCTTCAGAACTATCTTCACCTTCAAAATGGTTAGTTTCGTCAATGGATCCATTTTCGTTTATTCCTTCATACTCAATACCAATATTAACTTGTGCCGACTCTTTTCTGAAAGAATTTTTATTTTCCTCCTCTGGTTCTTTTTCTATTAACATACTCTTCAATAAGTTTTCGGAATCTAGAGTCCTCCGTTTAAAGTTATAAAACTCCACCACAAAGTCCGCACAAGTTTCACACAATTTATTTGGTAATCCATCCTTTTCAGTTAACTACGAGAAATGAACGAAAGTATTTTAAAATTGAAACAGTAATTAACTTACCTGTATCAATGACAAAGTTTTGTAGATGTCACATAAAGCATTGCCTTCATGAACGTAACAAAATAAATTAACTGTTGCATTTTTTGCCAAGCAAGATCTACAAATTTTTTCGAAACTTTCAGTAATTTCTGCTTTATCAATAAGTTGTGTTGTGCGTTCACCCCACATTTTATGTTATCGATATGAAAAAAATTAATATTTCTGGATATTTCTAAAAGATAACCCTTCTTTTACTCTGTCTTTTCTAAGTTTGACAGTTCGACGTTTGATT